GCGTTCTGACCCTCGGTGTGATCATCGTTCGCGTGGGCTTTGACCCTTACTGGGATCCCTTCCTTTTCTTGTTTGACTGAATCGCTACGGTCGCGACGTATGAATGGTGCTCCAGTCACATGTCGCTATTTTGAAGCGCCATTTGGAAACTTGACTCGATAGCTTCGGAATCGAACTCCCATCGACTTTTCCAGCGGTTCAGTTGTCGGTGGTAGACAGAATCATTCCTGTCCTGCGCGAGCTTGGAGATCAGCCACGTGCGACCACAGGCCTGACACACCAGTGGATGGGTATGTGGCAAGAGAATCGTAATTCGCCGCGCCAGTGGGCGTCGCGTGCGACGTCGCGCCCGCTAATGACGACGATTTTAGGTGGTATTGGTCGAGAATAGACAATGTGTGACCAAAATAGACATAAGTGTCCACCATGTCGTTGTCTACATAAGTTCCGATGCACCAGATTCGATGAAGCGGCAATTCACGATTCTCTTGCCCGTCTCCCCCAGTAGATATCGGTGCTAAGGAGGATTGTATTCGGTCTCCAGCGATCACCGTGCAGACCAGCGATCTGTGTGCAGTGATACGTATCCTATTGTTGCCGAGACATTCGATTCTTACGGCACCGCTCTACCCCCTCATACCCACGTGGTATGACAACTGTCAGAGGTTTCAAGACCAAGTGGAGTTGGTTCGACCAAAATTTGTTGCGTTAGAGGGACTACAGTCGTGATCACTGGAGTCGGTTGGACGTGTCAGCCACGCGTGGGTTTTGGCGTGGCGCCATTCCCTCTCCCGTCATCGCAACAGTCGATGGAAAATGGACTGGGGCCGTGCCAAAACCTACGCCCAGGTAGCACGCCCCAACTAGCAATAAATAAATGTACGTGGGCAATGCTTTGGGCAGCAATGGTATCTTCCGCTTACTCTCATCGCATAATTACTGGGTGAAAGCCACAAACGCAAGGCCCAACTAACTCATTTTTTTCTTAATTTTTCATGAAAGTTATATGATAATTAAAAAGGTCTGAGATGGCAACGGTTCCTACCTCAATAACAAGATCAGCCACTGGGATACTATTCCCCTTGCTCCATCGGGACGTAGTACACGTAGAAGAGCAGATTTCCTCCATAGCTGTTCAGCTGAAAGTAAATTACTCTAGTTCATCCGGAAATGAAATCACTGCCTTCCTGCTCCCGATTCCGTTTATCCTTCCAAGTTTGATGCTTGGTGGGAAAGTTCCCAAGCAAGCATCGGGTACCACCATGTTCCCTTAAGGTATCAGGCGCTTTCCAGTAAAACAATGAACGGTCCTTGTTCTGATTTGCGTTGAACATCAACACCTCACGATTTTCGATTTCTGGACGAACTTCCCGCACACCGCTCAGGTCCGTAAGGTGCCAACCGACGTTATTGGAAATCTAAACAACAAGGGAAACATTAGTTTCTTGGGAAAAAAGTGTGACATCACCAATAAAATGTCCTCTAGGAGGGCACAGGAGCTTGAGGGATCAGGTACCTGCGGTGGACAGCAACTCTTAACTTACCGAAGCTGTAGCCCATGGGATTTCTCTGCACTTGTCGGTCAGACCGAAGCAGAAGCACGCTTGACATCCCAATGGATTATCGGCGTTCAGATGGATGGTATTCGGCCGGCAGCGGTCACAATACAGTCCTTCCACATTCGCTTTACACTGGCACCTGAACAGAAGGGTACTTGCCCGCTAAAGTCATTGGGCAGATGTTACAAACTCACTTCTCTTCCTCGCACGTGTCAAAGTTTATCCGAGCCAGCCTGATTGCACGGACAGGGCTCACACCTGGGGTAGTTGCGATAACCGCGAGCACAACGCTCGCAACGTCGCCCACCGAAGCCTGGCTTGCAGACACAGTCACCAGGATGCTGAATAGGAATAAATAAAAAAGCTTGCCTTGATGGATGATTCAAAGACACCGTCCGAAAGGGCGGAGCCGGGGAACAGCGTCGTTGACGCGCCCTTCCTCTTCCCGCCTTCTTCGCCGTCATACTAGGCGAAAGCAGGGGGCGCGACAATGACGTCATTTCCCGAGTCCAACCAATTGGCTGTCCCGCGTCTTTGGCTACTGGATGCAGTGGCGAACCTGTCCAGAGAGAGCGCTCTGGTCGTCTCTGATGCAGACGTCGCTAACGGAGCCCGTTAGATCGCAGTCACACGTTCGACAAGCGTCTTCCCTGAAAGAGGGGTGCATCTAGAACTCGCTTGAAATAAATGGAGGGGTTTAGTTTACCTGTAATGCGACAAGCCACTAGGACGGTAATAGCCATCCTTGCAACGCTCGCAGTTGAATCCTTCAGTGTTGTGCTGAAAGATGATCAATGTTGAGTCCAAGCTGTGCCAGCAAAACAATGTTGGTTTCCCTTCTTTGGCCACTTCTTAGAGAGCGTTTATACCTCGCCATTCGATCGCGCGATCCAAGCGATCCGATCGCGAAGTATGAACGCGCTCCCAGAAGCGCTTTGCTTACGACTTTCATTTCTTAACTTTCGGCAAGA